TGCCCGGCTATCAAAAGATATAGCATCTGGGGTCTTAAAGGCTTGCAGGTAAACAAGCGGCCAACTAGCTCAGAAGCAACAAAGCCCACATGGAAGAAGCACATCAGCCTGTGTGATCATGAGGTGTCGAAGGGATCAGGTATCATCAGAACAAAAAATCCCATCATTGTAAATGAGGGGGAGTGCCGGATGGAGACCCAAAGCCCATCTGTAGGCAATTGGATATCCCCTTACGGAAAGGTCAAAGGTCGTGGGGAAGAGACAGCCAGTCAGGGTGCTGTGTAGCGACAATGAAACACAACTTTCCTCTAGTTCCTAAATGCTTCCTCCCCCACCTCCCCACTATCATGATCCCAATTCTACCTTACAAATCTGGCTAGACCAGAGGATGTACACTGGTATAGATAGGAACTGGAAACACAGGGAATCCAGGGTGGATGATCCCTTCAGGACCAGTGCTGAGAGTGGCAATACTGGGAGGGTAGAGGGAGGATGGTGTGGTAAAGGGGAACTGATTACAGGGATCTACATATGACCTCTTCTCTGGGGGACGGGCAACAGAAAAGTGGGTGAAGGGAGACGTCGGACAGTGTAAGATATGACAAAACAATAACTTATAAATTATCAAGGGCTCATGAGGGAGGGGCGAGCGGGGAGGGAGGGGGAAAAAGGAGCTGATGCCAGGGGCTTAAGTGGAGAGCAAATGTTTTGAGAATGAGGGCAATTAATGTACAAATGTGCTTTACACAATTGAGGTATGTATGGATCGTGATGAGTTATATGAGCCCCTAATAGAATGATTTTTTTAAAAATTATACATGCAAATAAAAGTGACTTGTCCAATTTTAAAAAGAAGACGTCCCAGGACCATCCAGAAAGACGCGTTTGAGGTCTGTGCTTGCAGTGGGGGAGGGTGGGACCACAGGCACCAGAGGGTGTGGCACTGAGGCCAGGGACAAGGAATCCAGGGGTCAGAACAGAAGAGCTGGGCTGAAGCGACCAGGGGGCTGTGAGGCAGAGCAGCAGGCTGCCTTCCTGGGTCTTGGAGGCAGGGGTCAAGGGGCCACGTGGCTGAGGACCAGAGATTGGTTGTGTTAACTTGAGGCACTGCTGCGGATCAATGACTATCTTTCGTGTTGATCCTAGCTTGTGGTAACCTATGAACTTCCCTAGTAAGCCCCCACAATTGTGAGCATTGTTGGTGAGTTGTTGACAACGGGCTGTCGACCCCAGCATCGTATTGTGTGAGGAACTGGAAAAGAAGGATGGAGGGTAGAGGCATGCCTGACCTCTGCCTCGTGGCCAGAGGGAAGCCAGAGGAGGGCAGACAGCCCCTGAGCTGTTTTGGCAAGAGTCCAACTCCTAAGCCCCAGTGCCACCAGGGCTCCGTCATTAGCCATTCAAAACAACCAACCTGGCCGGCATCGAGTCCGATTCTGAATCATAGGGACCTTATAGGACAGACTAAAACTGCTCCTTAGGGTTTCTGAGGCTGTAACTCTTTAAAGGAGCTGACTGCCTCATCTTTCTCTCATGGAGTGGCTAGTGGATTCAAACTGCTCATCTTGAGATTAGCAGCCTAACTTGTAACCCACTATGACACCATAGGGCTCATTTCCCTTAGCCATTACTCACTGCCACCGCGTTCACCTAGAGAGTGTTTTGGAGGCAGTAATCTTTACAGGAGCAGACAGACACATCTTTGTCCCTTGGAGTGGCTGCTGGGTTAGAACCACTGACCCTGTGGTCAGCTGTCCAGTGGTTACCTGCTAGCGCCACTGCATACTCCTTAGCCATTCCATTCCAAACAAACAAACAAACAAACTCACTGCCATCAAGTTGACTCCCACTCATCGTGACCCTATAGGACAGAGTAGAACTGCCCCTGTGGGGTTCTGAGACTTGTGATCTTTTTTGGTTTTTAATCATTTTTGGGGGGGCTGGTACAACTCTTATCACAACCCATGCATCCATCCATTGTGTCGAGAACATTTGTACATTTGTTGTACATTTCTCAAAACATTTGCTTTCTGAGACTTTCGGTCTTTATGGGGGTAGCCAGTCACGTCTTTCTCTGGAGGAGCAGCTGGTGAGTTTGAACTGTTGCCTTTGCTATTAGCAGCTCCATGTGTAATCCACTTTCCCAGGAGGGCTCCTCCCATTAGCCATTATGGAGATGAAAATCAAAACCGCAGTGAGATACCATCTTATTCCCAGCAGAATAACGATGACAAAACTGCTAGCTGCTGGCGAGGACTGTGAATTGGCAGAGCTGTTATGGGGGAAAGGGAGCCCTGGTGGTGTAGTGGTTTCACACGGGGGCTGTGAGCCACAAGGTTGGCAGTTTGAAACCATCAGCCACTCCTTGGGAGAAAGACTGGGCTTTCTCCTATAGAGTTGCCATCTCAGAAACCCCCAGGGGCAGTTCGACCCTGTCCTGTGGGGTCACTGTGAGTCAGTGGACTCGAGGACAGAGAGAAGTACCATCTGATGCAACAATTCCAGTCGGAGGCCTAGACCTGAAAGCCCTGGAAGCAGCCACCGGCGCAGACAGACCCAGGTAGACCAAGGGTCATTGCTGCGCTCCGCGTCAGAGAGCATGGTGCTAAGTACAAGGGAAAGAGGGTCTTTGTTGTTGCTTTGAATACAGTGATTGGAAGTTGGTGGTGGTGGGATGATTTGGGAAAAGACTGTGAAGATGATTGCACCCTGTGAAGCGTACCAGGAACGCCTGACGGACGGGACGGTTGTCTGCTGGGCTGTGTGCACTCCTATAGTTCTGTCATTGGAGGAGCACATTCAACCCCATGAATTGTCTAAAGAATGCTGAAGGTGAAGTGCTGTCAGCTGGAGACCAGGACAGTCCCACCACCTGGGAAGCCTCCAAGTTGCCTCAGTCTCCCAGGTGGCGGAACGTTGGGTTGTGTTCTGGGGAAAAAAGGAAGCACTGACCAGCTCCACCTTTGTTAGCTGTGCTGAAAACCGTAACCTTCTTTTTGAAACGACTGCTTTCCTTTCCCGTTTTCCAGTTCTTCTGTGCATGTTTGCACCTCGTGTGAGATTTCCTTCCACATCAGCTTCCAGACAATTTAAAAAAATCCTTTCGCTGCTCTCATAGTTATTATTTCCAGAGCTCTTTTTAACTCTCTGAAATCACGTGGCTTTGGGCCTGATCTTATAAAGGCACTGTCTTGTAAGACGTGGCTGCCAGTGTTCTGTTTCTCCGGTTTCCTCTCAGATGGGTCGTTTCTTAAGAGTGGGGCCCTGGGGGCTGATGGGAGGATCTGCCACTGGGTCCTTGACTAGTGAGCTGCTGCCCCGTCACAAGAGGAAGGGGTCCGGCTAAAGATCTATGCAATGGCTCGTTTTAGGGTGGACTTGACTGGGCCATGGAGCCCTGTTAACTCTAAGGGAAGTGTGAGTGGCTAAACAGCAAAGCCAGAGGCTTGCCAGGGAGCATCCTGCCTCCAGTCTGTAGCCCAACTCAAATTCCAAACTGCCTGCTATTGAGTCGATTCTCATAGCAGTCCTAGAAGACAGGGCCGAATGGTCCCTGTGGGTTTTCAGACTGGAACTCTTTATGGTCGGATAGTCAGCGGGCTGGAATTCCTCTCTCCCTCCTCTGTCTGACCTATGGATTGGAGCACAAGACTGCTGGGATCTCCAGCCTAGTCACCTGACCTATGGATTTGGGACTTGCAACTTCTCAAAGGGAATCTGCTTAATCGACCGACCTTCTTATCCAAGAGAATCCTGGCACACACCTCTGCTTCCATGTGTGCCTCCTAAGCTGAGCCTGATGCTTTCAGGCTCCCACGGCTCCCTGCCTCCCTCTCCAGACTGGGAAGTGGTGGCTTTGCATGTGCTCCCCTTTCACTCTTGGGAGACATCTTTTAATTTTATTTCCAAGAACCAACTTTGGGCCAGTCTTCATCCTTTTTATTAAGTCCGCTTTCTTTATTATTATTTCCCTCTTTCTATGTCCTTTGTGTGCATTCTATTCAGGTTTTGAAACGTCCTGAGTTCATCTGTTTCTGCACAAGTCTGCCCTGAGTGCTTGCCCGTATTTTTCATCTGTAGTGTTCATTTAGATCCACTCTGGGTGTTTTAAAAGTTTCATTATAAATCTTGAACAAGTGAGTTATTGGCCAATGTATTTTAAAAGTTCCAAATCTATCAGGGGTGGGGGGGCTTCTTTTAGTTTTATGATCAATTCCTTATTGCACTTTGCTGTCATTTGAGAGTATGCTGTATATGATATCGATCCTTTTTCATATTTGCCGAGACCTGTTTTGTGACATTGAAGGGAATGGGTTTCAGTAACTGTTCAGCACTGATTGCTCTCCACTAGCTGTCTTCTGGCCAGCACTCCTTCCATCTGTTGCAGCATAGGGCATGGAGGCAGCCCTCGGAACCATCTTGCTACTGAAGCTTCGGCAAGAGGCATATTGACTTCGAGGGCTCAGGGGTGATATTCTTGCTTTCCATGCAAGAGTTGGAGGTTTGATTCCTGCCCAAGCCACCTTAGACAGGGTCACCATCTGTCAGTGAAGGCTGGAGTGTTGCTATGATGCTGAACAGGTTTCAGCAAAGCTTCTGGATTAAGACTAGGAAGAAAGGCTTGGCACTCTCTTTCCAAAACTCAGCCCATGAAAACTATAGAGCACAACAATTGGACCAGAACAAGCATTCTGTGACTAGTGCAGGACCGGGCGGTGTTTTAATCTGGGGTACATGAGACGGGGACCAAGTCAATAGCAGCTAACACCACGGCCACTCTCTATCAGCCCCTGGGAGGCCGGGTGTTGACTGCCCTCGGGTTACCACCGCCTTGGGTCACCAGTGAATAGTGAGTGCTGGCTCTGCCTCAGTGATGGCCTCGATTGCCTGGAGGGGGGTTCATCAGCACCGTGCCCTTGGCACAAGCAGCTAGCTCCCTAGGTTACAACCTAGATGCCCCTCCCTCCTTCCCTCCCTCCCTCCCATACCCCACAGACAGAGGCAGGGAGCTTTTTCATGGCTGCTTTTTACTGAGGGGACTGAGGGAGGCTCCTGGCCCGGGGGTTCAGGGGCCAGTAAAGGCACACGGTGGAAGTGGGGTCCCCTTCTTCTGGTGAGGGCCGGCTTGGCACAACAATGCCTCTGGCAGACCCCTCTTTGGCACTGAGCTGGGAACACTGGGACCCTTACTCACGGCAGCTGGAACCACAGGAGGCAGCTGGCAGTGTAGGCTGGCAGAGCGGTGATGCCCAGGGCTGTAGGTTTGGCACCGGGTGGATTCCTGCCCGGTCTTGCCTTCCCCACTGGCAGGAAGCTCACATAGGCAGTTAGGACATATACAAACCGACACTCAAATAAATTAGGTTTTGGAATAAGAAAAGGCTCGGGACCGAGCGGGGCCCTGCTCCAATCCCGTCGTGTTTGGCAGCCAATGCTGGGTCCTCCGAGGGCATGATTTGGCCAGGCTTCTGCTGGGTTGATGGGGCACAGGATCTTCGAGGGACAAAAGGGCAGATGGAGCGAGGACTTAGGTCTCAGGCTTGCACATACCCTGCCTGTTCCCTGGGCCCCAAAGAAAACTAAGGGACCAACTCCAATAACAGGCCACAGTTACTGACTTGTGGTGCCACGGGGCAGAGAACAGCTCTGCTCCGTAGGGTTTTCAACGGCTGACTTTTCGTTTTGGAAGTCAAATGCCAGGCCTTTCTTCCAAGGCACCTTTTGGTCAGCAGTGGAACCCAGTCACTGAGCACACGCCCCAGGGACATGGGCTCGGGGAGGGGTGCACAAGGAGGGGGAGGCGTGCAGGGATGGGCAGCGGGGGGTGGGGGGCTGCTGTTTCCTTCATATGATCCAATAGCTCAGGGGAGGGGATGGGGCCGAGGGTCCAGAGTTGGGGTGCTGATTCAGGTGGTGATGCCTGGGAGGAGCCCAGGTCCTGGGGGGCTAGAGGCCGGGGGTGACCCAGAGGTGGCTGCCTCGCCTAAGATTTGGCAGAGCTCCTGCAAGCGCTGCTGCATCTTGGGGATCCCCGCTAGCTGCTGCTCGAGCCGTTGCTTCTCTTCGGTCAGGCTCAGGCGAGCCGCAGAGTCCAGCTTCTCAAACTTCCAGCCGCCCTCTCCGTCGAACTGCAGCAAGTGCGTGTGGTACTTCCTGGACGGGAGATGGGCTAAGGCTGCCTGGCCAGCCAGCGGAAGGCAGTTGGGGCGGGGGTGGGGTACAGTGGGTCGAGGACACCTACCACAGGGAGGGGCGGTGGGTGATGGAGAGGAGGGCGATGCCCGCGTCCTTGGCAGCCTGGAAGATCTTGCCCTCCACATCGATGCTGACGGCGCTGGTACACTCATCCAGGAGGGCGTACTTAGGCCTGGGGGTGGAGGGAGCCCATTGGCAGCCTGTGGGCCACCCCATGGGACCCCCCAGCCCCGTTGCCTTCCGCCCACCTACTTGTGGTAGAACATGCGTGCCATGCCAATCCTCTGCTTCTCGCCACCGGACAGCACGTCCTTCCAGTCACACACGGCCTCCCAACCTTGGGAGAGGGCCAAGCGTGTTGGTATGGGGGGGAGCAGATCTCCCTGGGCTACCCAGTGTTTGCCTCCAGGCCAGGCCGGCACAGGCTGGGGAATGGACTGGCCTGTCAGGGCCGTGGGGCTGAGATGAGAGGGTCCTGCAGCTGACCTGTTCATGCAGTGGGACTATGCAACTAAATCCTGGCCAGTGGGGTGTAAGTAGGTTCCTTTTTTCTCCTGCTGTCTGCTGTGGATCTGTCACCCAGAGGTGACCTAGGGAAGGGAGGCCCCCCCCACCAGCTGTGCCTGCCTCTCTCAGGGGCATCATCTGTGAGGGTCTTCAACCAACCATGTGGGGTCTGTGGCTCACCACACTTCTGTCCCAGCAAGTCCCAGGGCTTTTAGAGGCTCCTATCACTCGCGTGGCCCGAGCCTCCCTACCTCCCTCCCGCTGGAGGATGTGGTGCAGGTGAACGATGTCCAGGATGGCCTCCAGGTGCTGCTCTGAGTAGCCCTTCCTGAGCATGTCGGCCACCGAGTCCGGGTAGATGATCTGGTCTCGCAGTGAGCCCACCGACATGTAGGGCCTGAAGGGCATAGGGGTCACAGGGCTGTACTGGCATTGGCCAGGCAGACATGGAAGTGCAGACGCACCATGGGCACCAACACCCACATGTGCACACACGTACACACACCGCATGGGCATGCACACACATGATGGCCGGGGAGGGGGGCAGAAGGTGGTCGCTGCTTACCTCTGTGGGATGTAGAACATGCGCTGGGGTGGGGGCTTGTAGAGCACACCCCCATAAGTCGGCCACAGCCCGCCGAGGATGCGGAACAGTGAGCTTTTGCCGCAGCCGTTGGGGCCCGTGATGAGCAGGTGCATGCCCTCCTCCACCTGCAAGGGGGACACAGTCCTGGGCCCACCCTCCCTGGTGGGGGTTCCAGGGGGTATGCTCCAGGGGCCTGAATGGCATACCCTTAGAAAGTCAGAGTCACCCTCCCCAGGGACTGACATCAAAGAGAAAACGAATGACCCTGGCTCCACCCACATTCTTTTGTGCTTCCCCTCTGCCTGAAGTGGGGCCCCA